CGAATTAGAGCAACCTTTGCATAATAAACTTCTGGTTTAATGAATATTTTATTTCCATGCTAGCTCTCTCTCTCTCTCTCTCTCTCTAGACTGGAACTTCACAATCACCTGCCTCTAGAGCACTGGCCTCCCTCGAACATGCAAAAGAAATACCATCCTCCCTTGTCCCTGCACTCAGTGCCTAACAATTTGCAATTACACCATTTGTTTTCCGTTCCTTATCCTTAGCATTGCCTTGCCTTAAATGACAGCTTATTATTATGCACAAATTTAATAAACTTGGCCCGAAGCAAGGATGTATTATGAGTTATGTGAGTTATTTTGGGTTAATTTTGATAAATCTAAACAATATTATTTTAAAATTTTATTTTTAAAGGTTAACACTACATTATCTGATAAAAAAAAAAGGTTTTGATAGGGTCATTAATTTACTTGCCATGCTGATTGTGTCATATCAAATTAAATTTCACTTAATTTCATATAAAATTTAACTTAGATACAAGACCAGGATAGAGGTAAAATTATATTTTTATTATTTTTTAATATAGTAGAAAGTCAATTACCTTTAAAATCATTAAAAAAAAGATGGAATCTAAAAGTTTTTTAATCTTTTATATTTTTAAAATCAATTATCTTTAATAATTTTTAGTTTTTAGCACAATAAAATAATTCTATTATCCTTAAAAGCAATATTTTTAAAACTTGCTTTCAAAAACTTTTTCATCTTTTCATTATATATATATTTTTTTTATTATCAAGTTGAATAAAAATAATTTGATATTTTAATAAAAATAAAATATTGTTTTAAATGGAAAGTGGTTGGCGCATACAATGTAAACATAAACATGTAAGAAGTATTCATAATCTTCAAGTAGCTAGTGTGGTATTTTAATAATAAAAAATTATCTTTTAGCATGTTATTGAAATTTTGATGAATCTTCTTTCCATTGATATGACGCATAAAGGTAACGAAAGAATAATTTATTGTAGGCAGGGTTTTTTTTACCTTTTTTTTCTCTCCTCTCCTCGAAACTTATATTGACCATTCAAAATTTCAAAATTCTCCTTTGAGTTATTAATATTTAATTTTAGTCATTATTCTAATTCTTGTTTTTAGCATTTTTATACAATTCTTATTTATTTTTTATTTCACCATTTGATCCCAAATTTTGATTTTTTTTTCTTTTCAATTTGGACCCTTTTTATTGTCTCTCTTTTTTGGGTTGTTTTTCTAAGTTTATTTTTTTTTTTAATTTCACCCTTCAATCAAAAAATAGTGGTTGTCATCTAATTTGTTTTTCATTTCAATTTTGATTCTCATTTTTTAAATTGTTATTTTTTATTTTAGGTCCTTTTGTATAATTTTTTTTAATTTTATCCTTTAACATTTAATTGGTTGGGGATTGAGCTTATTACCCAAGTTAATGTTAATGTTAATTATGCTAACTCAAGTTGAGTCGGGCTAATTTTTTTATCTTTTTTTTACCTAACTTCATTCTTTCATCTTTAAGTGGCTAAGAATTAAGCTCATTATTTTTTTCTTTAGAAAAAAGGGTTTTTTCCATATTATCATGATTAATTTTTATTTTAGTTGGTCCATGTGTTATCACTACCTATTTTTTAATTATTTAATTAAAATAAACCAACTTACTTAACCTAATTGAGTCTAGAACTTGAGTCATAAATTTTTCTTCCTTCTTTAATACGTGCTTGCGACACTTAAATATCATTTTGAATATAAAAAATTCAACCTCGTGGCTTAGTATAGCCATATCTAGTGTAATTCTAGACATAATATTAAACTATGTTATCTTTGTGAGCTAAAGTAGATATTTCTCCAAGATATTACTGTTGGATTTTTCGAAACACATACACACAGCAAAAATGGTGAGTTTAAATTTGTTTAGGAGTCTCAAAGATATTATTAGAAAAATCTAGAGTTATTTAGATTTTATTAAAAAATTACCCGAAGATTAAATGTTTTTTCATATTTGAATAATTGTTCAAAAGATGGGTTGTCGCAAACCACAACTTGTAAAAATAAGAAATCTTTTAAACCCTTTTAAAAGAGAAAGATTCTCATACTTTTGAGTTCTAGCTCTTTTCTTTTGTGTTTTTCTGGTGTTATGTAACCTACATAGTTTTTGTATTCTTTTCAATATAAAAAAAATAAGAAACATAACATTCTATTTATATAAAAACCTAAAAATCTTATAAATGATAAAATATCAATTTACCTTCTAATTAATATCACATGTTATTTCAGGATAATTTTAGAAATTTATTCAATCAAGTTCATACTTGATTTTTCTAGGTCTAAAACTATAATTCTCTATTTAAATTACATTATAGTGCTTAATTTCTAAAATTTATTTACAATCAAGTCACATTTAATTAATCATTCTATTTTAAGCTCTGAATAATAATTTTTATATACGTGACCCGTCAGGTTCCTTAATAATTAGCTTAAATATAAATAACAATCATAAATAAAATAGGATTAGATAAATTAATTTATTATCAATTCAACAATTAATTGGTTTATATTTGAAGATCAAATGCAATGCTTAACAACCTGTCATAATCTTTTAAATATTAAAAAGCTCATAAGTGGTTTGACCTAACTTTTCGGTGATCAATTTTTGCAATGTAATTATTTCTCATTCATCAATAATATTCTAATTTAAACATTATAACATAGAGTGCATCTACTATGTCGAATCATATTTGTTTTCAATACCATACATAGAGTGTATCTACTATGTCGAATCATATTTGTTTTCAATACCATAATCTTTGATCATTTGACCAAGATTTAAAATTTTTTTCAAATTTTATTCGACCTTACATGAGAATTTATAATTAATACTATTTAAGAACAAGTGAAACATTTTCTTTTATTCACTTAGGGTGATGAATTCTCTTTTAATTACTTAAATACCTTTACATAATTCTTATTATACTCAATATTTGTTTGCTTGTTACTCTTGATTATACCAACATATAGTAGGATCAAAATATAATTTTTCATATATAAGATGACTTGGCAATTTCTAATTTAAAGATCATTTACATGACTATCACATGAATATTTTCATAAACACATATGATCTCTCCATATAAGATTTTTATGTGGGGTAGTTAAGTGTACATGTCATTTAACAAGCATATGTATATTAATTTCAAGTATCCTTCATACCCCAACTTATAGGTGCAATTACTTCTTTTTATAAAGAAAATAGCATAATATATATTAGTCTCAATAATTCTAATTAATGTTTAGTTTTAATAAAACATTAATCATTAATATTCAGGAACAATATTTTAATGTAATAGGAATCTTATAATTATAATAACTTTATAATTTTCTATGCAATGTAGTTTTATCTCTAGAACTTTATCTTTATTCTAAATTTATTGATCAAATATTAAACAAATCCAAAACCACTAAGACGAAAAACAGGCTAAAAAATAGGGTCATTTTAAAAATTGATTGGGGTAAAATTGAATTGATTTTTAAAATTAAAATTCAATTAAAGATTTAATTAAATAAATCAAAATTGAGAAAGGCTCATGACTATTAAGATTCTTCGTAACATTCAAGGCAAATTCAACTAGATTAGTATAATCATACTTGACCAATGCTTTTATTTATCTTTTTTGTTTTCTTGTAGCAATATTGTAAGGTTGTTCTTCAGGTATATTTTTAATAATAATATCGTACACCACTTTCTTAATAGAATCTATTTAAGCATATTTTTGCACTATCTTTAAAGCTTTAACCTCAAGTTCCACTAGTGCTGCTAGTGCACTGATCAATCTCAACATCAATACCAATCCTTTTTCTTATGAAACACTATGTACTCATTAAAGGTCGCATCCCTATTAGTAATAAATTTAAATAACTTGTGATTAACACACCACAATTGATATTCCTCCACCCTAAATACATAGCCTAGGAATATATATTTTCCTACTTTCGGCCAAGTTTATCTTTCTTAGCATGAGTATAAACAAGACAATTGAATATTCTTAGTTTAGAAAAATCAACAAGAGAACCAAATCATAACTCAGATGAAGTTTTCAACTCTAAAACTATCAATAAAGATAAATTCACCATATAGCAAGCCAAGTTAAATCTAAAATGATATCGTTTTGATTTTTTCAAGAAAAGTCAAACTAAATCTTACTTAGATTTTAACCGTGTCAACCAAGTTAGACCAAGTCAACTCTCACTTGATTTGATGTAACTCAACTTGAACCTGATTTTATATTAAAAAGTCATGAGATTAACATACCGAGTCAAAAAAATTTAATAATATTAATTTTATTATAGCTAATAAAATATATTTTAAATGGTCTTTTATTTTATTTTTCAAGATATTCACTATTGTTTTCAATGTAAAGTTGTTCCTTCACCTTTATTCCTTTTTTAAAAAAAAGACTTTTAGAAATTGTAGATTATAAACAGTATCTTATAAAGAAAATGACACCAATAATAGTTAAGCTACAACAATTTTTTTTTGAAATAGGTCATTTGATTTACCTGAATATATCATGTATGATATCTCATTTTTTTTGCATGACTAAAAAAATTAAAACTTATTTGGTTGGTTGATAAAAACAAAAGTTTCCAATGATTTCCAATTTCCTACCATTGAGTTGGGAGTTGCCAACATTTATTAAAGGGGTATTTAAATCATGTCGATTTGAGACTTGACTTGATCCAAATTAAATTTAAAAAATTAAATGAATTAATCTAATTCAAAATAGATGACTTAATCGATAAACTTAAAATCTCATCAAAACAGTTATATTTTAATATATATATATATTAAGTTAGGTTTCGTGTCGGGTCATGATCGGTTATGGTTTAATAACTTTTTCTGGGTTGACCCACGAAAAGAAAGGAATAGAGGGAGAGGGCCCTTAATGATTTGTCTAATTTGGACTTTGGATTCGCTTTCGAACCAGAATCAATTGCTTTCCTTTTTTCCATTTCCAACCAAAAAAAAAAATTAAAAGCGAGACCAGGGAAAGGCAGGGCAGGTTCTGGAGTATTATTTTAAGAAAGGAAGGGGAAAAGGGAAATTGAACTTGATGGTTCAATCGCATGGCTTCTTCTTCTTCTTCCTCTTCTCATCAGACTCGCGTGCCTTTCCCTTCCGACCCTGGTAATTCCTTCTCTCTCTCTCTTTTACCATATTTTTAACCACAATCAATCCATAGATTAACCTTTGTGATTGTGACTGTATAAGTTATACGTGATCAAAATTAAATTATGCTTTATGTAATTTTATATCAGGTATTCATCTTACATTTTAACTAACTGTTATTGATTAATTACAGGTTTAGTTAAATCTTAATGCAAATTATTCTAAGTTACTGGTTTTGAAATTTCTATGTTCAAATAAAATTCATGCGTTTTGTTTTATGGAAAGCAGGTGATAAACCACTAGATCATGATGTTCCGATCCATGTTGTCACCGAACCTTCTCAACTTCCGGTCGAGTTCCTTAACCCTTCTGCCGCAAAGCAATTGATCATTGGTTTTGACTGTGAGGGTGTTAATCTCTGTCGTCATGGAGCTCTCTGTATTATGCAGGTCAGCTATAGTTTAGTGTTGTTCTGTGCGCGTAATAGAAAGTATAATTTTATAATTTTGATGCTGCATTGTTTTTTTGTCATTGGTTTTGGCAGCTTGCATTCCCGGATGCTATCTACTTGGTTGATGCCATTAAGGGTGGAGAGCCACTTATCAAAGCATGTAAGCCTGCACTCGAGTCGAGCTACATCACAAAAGTTATTCACGACTGCAAAAGGGATAGCGAGGTTTCTAGTTGAACTTGCTTGATTCTAGATGGTATTAGCTTTTTATGATGTGCACTAGTACCAGACTTCTATCAATGTAGTTAAAAATCAATTTTATTTTGTAGGCATTATATTTTCAATTTGGCATCAAGTTGCACAATGTTGTTGATACCCAGGTGAGTAACTAATAGGTGGAACTGGTATTCTATTTGGGAATTTTTTTAATGATCTTTTATGTACAATAGTACATGTTCTTCAAGCATCGTCAGTAAGCAATGAGGATAAGGTTTTTCTGTTTAATTGATATTGTTAATTTTTCAAATTATCTACAGACTAGTGGTAGACTGTTAATGAGTCTTACTGAATTGACCTGGCAAGAGCATATTCTGTGCTCTTTATCTCTATTGTAATGCACATTTAAACTGCTCTTTTTGGGAGCCGGGGGGGTTGCCATTTGCCAAGTTGGATGCACACTAAGTTAACTGTGGGGTTAATCTAGAACCTCTTTGGTGAAGACTGTATGAATATGGTGCTCATGAGGGCTTGAGAGTTACACTTAAAAAATAAACAAAGTAGACTATTGCGAGGACATTATTCTGAATCTTAAGTTCATAACCATTTATATTTGATTTACACTTTGATGTATGATCAGCTTTAGGTCTGCATCATAAGCTCTATTAGTTGCTTTTAGCAAAGATCAATTATAATTGATACTGCTACATCTTTCTTTTAGTTTTCGAGATCAGATTTGAGCATTCACTATCGTTGTGGTAATTGCTTATATTGGCATAGAGAATTATTAATCTGGAGCTGTCATTTTAATTTTAATACATATTTGTCGTTTTGCTAGTAGATTGCTTATTCTCTGATAGAGGAGCAAGAAGGACGGACTAGATTGCCAGGGGACTATATATCATTTGTTGGCCTCCTTGCAGATCCACGCTATTGTGGTACTATATATTCTGCAGTATCCATTTGTATTATCCGTTTCAGGTCATATAGCTTGATTGTTTTGTGAATATATTCCATACTTGCTAAAAGTTTTTGATATAACAAATGGATGATAACTCCAATGTCTTGACATCATGTCCTGTCTTTCTTCTGTTAAAGGACTAGTGTTGCATTAATGCCTATAGTTTAATTATGCTGGTGGGTGCATCTTGAAAGCTACTCTCTGTTGTCCCTCTTTAATAACAAAAAAAGAGGTTGGGAAACAAGTCTTATGAAATCTTTAGCACTCAATTGGAATCACGTTGCAATGAACTGATGGGGTTAAATTTTTTTTTTTTGGATTGAGAAGTAGCTTCTAGACATGATTCTTACTACAAGGAGGCTTCTGACTTCTGTAGGGACAATTTTTTTCTTTCCTATATTTCCCTTCTCTTCTCTTTTAAAGTCTGCATCATAAGAGCATTTAGCTTCCTGGTCTATGTATTGTTTGTTCGATAGGAAATGCAGTAGCATTGAATGACCTTATTTTTACTTGTGATTAGCACTTTGTAGGAAAATTGATAAACACTGCAACCTTTTTCAACTACTCCAGCATTTCCTACCAGTTTGTGCCACTGGCTTTTCTTCTTTAATTGAAAGTAGATTCGTACGAGAGCAGCATTTGAATGTTCTGATTGGACTTGTTATTCTAAACTGATGTGGGACAACTCTGGATTTGTGTCCCACAAAGGATTCGTGGCTAGATTTTGGGAATGAATTTATAAAAAAGAAAGAAAAAAGGTTTCTGACCGAGGTTACTTTAGTGAGAAAGCAGTACAAGAAAAGGAAGAAAAACAAGAAGAAAATAGCACTTGAATAGAGAGGAAGTGCTCAGGCACGAAAAGCCCTAATGTCACTAAACTAAATGGAAATAGCAATTTGGATAGGAAAACAAAATACATAACTAATAGAAAACTCCTCATGGTATTCTAGTTCCCAAATAAGCCATAATTACTATATAATAAATTCCTGAACAGAAGCTTCTTTGTTCTTGGTTACATCATAAACCTTCAACCCAGAGTAAAGATTTTCTTGGTTATTATTTGCAATAACTACTAATATTGTTCTCCTTCTTTTTTTTTTGAAAACAAGAATACTTATCTGCTCTTATTCTCATTGGCTTGCCTTTTGCTTTTGACTGGACATACTTTGTGGTATCTAGTTGGCAACAAAATTGACTTCCTGCATCATTCGTTGTATTTCTGAGTTTTATATTTTGTGGATTTGAATGCAGGTGTATCTTATCTGGAGAAGGAAGAGGTTCGTGTTCTCCTCCGACAGGTTAGTTTAAGCATCTGACTCTCTCTCTCTCTCTCTCTCTCTCTCTCTCTTCGAGTAAAGGGGAGAGAGCTATATTGAAAAAGCTATTCTCTAATGCCTTGGTTTTGATTCCAAAAAAAAAAAAAACATTTTGGCTCTTTGGGAAGATAAAGTAGTGGCACTAGCCAGTAACATTTGCTTTCACTCTGTCTTTGACTTTTGAACACATTTGCCTCTCAAGTTTGCACTCCTAAGATGCTATCCTTCTGTTGCTAGATTGGTGACGGATGCTTCTGTTGTGCAATTTAGAGTTTCGTGATGTGCTGGCGTGTGGCATTCAGCGTTTAGACAAGGACTTCTTTAACTTCTGAGACTTACAAGAGAGTTAGTCCCTTGCCATGTTAAATTTTACTGGCAAGTGTAGTGTCTCTTTTCTAATCATTGGTTGAAGATATAGTAGAGGCAATGCCACAAGCTATGAGATCAAACCAGCGACCTTAAGTAGTGCTTTCTAGAGTCTCCATACTTATGTTTTATCCCATGAATATTAAAAAGGAAATATACCTCAGCGGACTTATAACAAGATAACCAATGGTGTTTGTACTTCAAAAATTTTATTCAAGCTCTTGCACTCTAATATTTTTGTGTACATTTAAACAATGTTCAATCAAGTGCATTTGTCCTGGAAAGACCCTTTTGATCACTGATGTGCAATGCTCTTTGGAATGATATTTTCTGAACAATTGAGTGATCATTTTTTAAAAGTTTAAAGACATTCTGATATAATAGAGGTAATCAATTATTGATTTGGATAAACTACAAGAACCAGGGTTGTGAGGATCTCTTTTTATGATTTTGACGCTGTTTGTGTTTATTTGCACTTGCATCTTCTCTAAGAGCTCAAGAGAAATTTGTTCAGCTACTGCACACCCCCTTTGTGGCAACACCATGTGCATTTTCTTACAGCTAGTACTTCCTGACATTATTGTATCTTTCTATTACTTTCAGGATCCTATGTTCTGGACATACAGGCCATTTTCTGAAATGATGATCCGTGCAGCTGCAGATGATGTTCGTTTTCTTCTCTGCATCTATTATAAGATGATGGAAAAGCTGAACGAAAGATCATTATGGTATCTTGCTGTTCGTGGAGCATTGTATTCTCGATGTTTCTGCATTAATGAGAATAATTATGCTGATTGGCCCGATATCCCTCCTATTCCAGGTTTTATGTTTTATCAACCTATCATTCTACGCTACTTCTTGTTTCCCAATCTTCCTGGAATCATGTTACCAACTCTGTGGAATTGGTTTGTATGCTATGTTGTTTTTAATATACATCCAATATGGATAAAAGATAAATTAAAGATAAAAGAGGTGCCAAACACTCCAAATTGGATAGTTTTGCACTACATTGTATTGGCTTTAACTATTGGGTTTCATTGTTGGAAACTATGGGAAGGGATTTCCAATTGAGAAAGTTTGTTATTTTCCGCAAGATAATGTCACTAACAATCTAAAGATTTGAAATGATATTAAGTTCAAGTGCAGTGCATGCATGTGGGTCTAGATTTTGGATAAGGAGGAGTTGTGTGTAAGCTAGCCTTCAGCACGCCAACTATGAATGCATGCACCCACCCTAAAATAAGAGTGTATAAAGAAATATAGCTTACTAGCAAGTAACAAGCAATCAAACGGAATAGCTGGACATTGTTTGACTTCTTGTTTAGCATGACCTATTTTGGATGGGCTTCGTGAAGGAAGGTAACAAAAATGCTTCACTAAATTGAATACTGATCTAGTTGTGCCTTCTCTTTATAGATAACCTCACCATTGAGGACAATGCCCCCGAGGAGGAAATCCTTTATGTTCTTGATGTTCCCCCGGGAAAGATGGGACGTGTTATTGGAAGACGAGGAGCTTCCATTTTGTCAATAAAGCAATCTTGCAAGTATGTCTCTCTTCTCCCTCCCCTCATATTCTTTTGCAATCCATATCATCAATTTGGTTTTCTTGTTCTTTAATCTGAGCATGTGCATCCTTTTGCAGTGCGGAAATTTTCTTTGGAGGTGCTAAGGGTCCACCTGACAAGGTAAGTCTATCTAATTAATGATGATAACTAGCTGCCAGGTGATAACCTTAGCCTTGGTCAAAATCTAGCCATCTTAGAATTCAAGTCGATGCAAAATGAAATCTGCTTTGAGATTTCCGTATTCAACCAGCATAGAAAGCGGGGGAACCTTCTTGTATTTTGATCATCTCAAGAAAAATGACATTATTAGAGACTCACAAGATAAAGCCATGGAAGATAACCCACACTGCCTTTGTTCAAGATTTACTTGTATTTATTTGTTGTCATCCTCGCGTGTAAATGTCATTTATTTTCTTGTAGGCATTCATAATAGGACCAGTGAAACAGGTGAGGAAAGCAGAAGCCATGCTGAAGGGGAAAATGGTGGATATTTACTAGGGAGCTTCATGTTTCATACCCGTTCAACTTAAATGTAATAATAGCAAGTTTGCGAGAGAATTTGCCTGCCTAAACTTCTGATGTCATGCCTTCCTAATACTAACTTGTTGAGTGCCTGCTGGTTTCGTACACTTATCAGCATCTATCTTTGCATTTTGGAGGCAATCTCAAATGCTAATAATTCCAAAAATATGACTTGGTTGGCAATTCAAGGATGACAATCACCAGCCGCTTTCTCGCCAATTTGCACCCTAAAGTGTTTGTTTAATTGTAAATGCAAAAGGATAGAAATAGGATGTTATATCCAGTTATTTCTCTGCGTTGAATCTAATGCAGAGAGCGAATTTTTTAGGAAGGCTAAACTATAAGAACCCCTAGACCATGGGTCCTCGTGCATTGTGAATGGCAGAGCTCCTAACATTCTCATACTCCAGTTCTTCATAAAAACAGCTTCTATGGGTGCCTGTTGCTGGACGCAGGCTTCAAAGAAACATTCTCTACGGTTTTGTAGAATGAATGGTGATCAAGAGGCTACCTTTCAAGTTTCAGATCTAGCTCCCTCTGTATTTTTTCCGTTCCTTTTTTCTTGTTCTTGATGCATTACATCTATTATTGGCCTTGATGCAAATTCAGAAAAATAGCATACAGTAAACTCCAGGTTTGAATATTGAAATGGTTTGCTCTCACACAGGCAGCGAAAAGAGATCACGAAAAACTGCATCTCTTAACTACAAGCAACATTGCCCCCACAATGCAGGAGGACTTAATAAAGACAATTTTGCAATCTCTTTGAAACAAGTAATCTAGTAAAAACCTTGTCAAGATCGATGCAGAATCAGAACACGGTGTTGTTCTCTTGGAATTGTGAACAAGAGTGAGCACACCAATACGGCCGCACTTGAAATATTGTTACCAAACGGGCAAAAGAATATGCGGACCTAATGGGCGATAAAGGCCACTTGACAGAATTTACTTAAAATTACCAAAGTGGTATTGTTGGCCACCAAGGCTTGAGAAGAAATCATCTCCGCCAGTTGCTTGTGGCGGTGAAGCCGTTAACCCGGATTTACCAAGGCCAGATCCCATGCCCATTGCTCTTCCCATATAGAATGAAGTTGGAGGTCCCTTTTCCCTTTCATCTAACCCATCAGTAAGATCACCCACGACACCAACATCTACAAGAGACACCTTCTTGGCTGCAAGGAGTTCAAGTGGCAAGACAATTCTGACTGAGCCTCAAAGCAAGAAGTACAATGTTAAAGAATAATTGCAGACACTCGCACAGAGAAACACCAGACAAGAATGTGGAATCAAAGCTCATCTCCAGAACCCTAGACAAAAATGGTAGAATGCAAACAAAGAGCGTACTTTCAAGACAATACTTTTTTCCAGAAAATTTAAAAAGAAGACCACTCCATGGCATGATTGTTCCTCCACCAACAAAATCATAACATTGTAACAGTTTACTTTGAAGCATTATTAAAGTAACCACATTACTCTCTACCCACATCCCTTGCTAGAATTTCATTAGAGAAGAAAATTGTAGTGTATGCATATCAAAACACATGAAAAGCCCTGCATATTAGGTATATATGCACATAATGATGCAAAACAAACCAATTCCATATTTGTGGGGAAAAGCCTTGCTAGAATTTCATTACAGAAGAAAATTGGAGCAGAGAATGCATATTAAAACACATGAAAAGCCCTGCATATTTGGTATACATGCAGATAATGAAGCAAAACAAACCGATTCCACATTTGTGGGAAAAAGCATCCAGCATAAACCACATGGATAAGCACCAATAAGGAAGCACGTGATCCAGTTCTCTGCCACCTGCATGTGAGCCTAAAAAAATTGCCTAGTTCTAGCAGTCACTAGGAGCCAGCGATAACAAAGATTTCCATACGACCATAACAATCCAAAATCACACTCCCAACTAAACCATTCTGTCCATGATTCTACATTCAAATGGTATGCGTGCAGAATGTTAAGACATCACACATGAGACTGATGAGCTCAAGTTCTGTTAGATGTATAAAATATAGCAATTAAAATCCATCAAAGGGATTTTGCATCGTATTATTGTCCCACACCAAGAGCATTCGTGTTCCTTTTGCATAATATCATGGTTTATATTTTTTTAAAGTTCAAAGATGACATATGGAAATAAAAGGAACTCAGTATTCAAGCCTCTTTTAACAATTGAGCATCCTGTTCTTTGTCCGTGTTGTTTGTTTAAGGGTGGGAAAAAGGGAGGTAGTTTGGATAAAATTGAAAAAGTTATCATGACTTGCATCAAACATCTGTGAAGTTGAAATAAAATTTTCAATGTAATATTTCAAGGAGAAATTACAGCACGTCCATATATTCTGCAACCATCCAAATCTCTTACAACCAGTTTTGGTCATCTCTATCTGTGTGATCAAACAAGACTCCACTCTTGAGAACCTATTCTTAGTGGTGTCGTAAATAAATAAATAAAATCTAACTTGCTCCATGAATTCATGCATAAAATAAAAACAATTTAATTGAGGTAGATCACATATATAGCATGTATATGGAGAACGTTTCTGAAAGGAAACAATAGTAACCAAGAAAGATATGCTTACGAGCAGATATATTAAGATCAATCAGTCCACGGCTAAGCGAATCTGCCCATATTCCAGACTTCACCTGGAAACCCTCCTTCTGTGGAGGATTGGAGCTTGCCAAAGAGTTCCCATCCAAATTGTTAAGGCTGCCATCTTTAATAGGACTTTGAGTTGGTTCTGAAGAAGCTGGGTTAGAACTAGAAGTGAATACACCAAAAAGATCAGATCCATCGAAATTGTTCATTGGAACTGCAGCAAATGGGTCAAAGACATTAGTATTTGGAGGATCAGATTTTGGAGTCTTGATCCCGGGTTGTGCGACTGGTTCATCACTAGAAAAGAAGTCAAATGTAGAAGGAACTGCAGAAGGGTTGGCAGGTTGGGAAGTGAACAGATCGACCTTTGTCTGCAAAACAAGTCACAACAAAATTTATCACCACAGAATATCCAAGCATCCATCAACAAAGCATTAAATTCTGAGCACGTATAACCGTGCCCTCAAGAAATTGCAAATAATAAAAACATTCTCCAACTTCTCGATAATAAAATTGTGAAGCAAATGTCATCCAAGAACATGACACAGAGCTCTACACTAAAGGTAAACTACCTTTGTGAAGCCAACACGCATACTTCAAAGACAAAAGGAACAAAGTAAATCAAAATCCTTCTTGGTTGACACAAAGTCAAATAAATAACAGCTTTATCCAATTTGAAATGGCATGCAAGAGCCAAAAACTAAAACACGGCATTTCATTTCCAGAAATTAGCAAGGTATCTGACCTGAGTCTGTGAACTTGCTTCCTTTCCAGCTTGGGGAGGGGCTGATACAAAAGCTGCATCAGCAAACAGATCAACCTCTGCAGAATTCCCATTCATGACTAAAGCTTCTGTAGTAACAGATGTAGGTCCATCCATGAGATCACCAATCAAACTTTCTCCAAACAAATCAACTTGGTTCGAGGTTTGAGAAACAGACACTGTCAATGATGATAAAATATCAAATATATGAAAATATAATGTCAAATATATTAGAAAACAGGAAGGAATCAACAACTTGGTATCTTCAGTAGTAATTTCATTGAAAGTTTTGTGTTGGATAATATAGGAGAATGATTCATATCTAAATTATCATTGAGATGCACTCGTTTCAATTGAAATGCAGACCACTGAACAGTATTAAAAAAGACATGAGCATTAAAAGGCACAAAAAGGAAACAACACACCACAGAGGACTTTGCTGCCTGTAAATTTCTTGCACATTCACAAAAACATAGCTGTCTAAGACTTGGAACACAGGGCATGGCTTCTTGGCCATCAGACAACTACAATGTCTGGAGCCCTCTGACACTATGCATTCAAACCACTGCTTCATCCAAGTATTGCCACATGCTCATCCCAATTTCTTCACTCAATTTTTTCTTTCACAAATACAAAAAAAAACCACAATATTCTCACTTCATAAGAAAGCATCAACGGTTTTTCAAGGTTCATTTTGCTTTGTGGATTGAGTTTGGTAATTTATAGTTTCTTAAGTTACTGATTCAAGAGTCTATGACCACAGATTTTATTGGTTTCAATAAGCATGCATCTATTTAATGTTTTCTGTTCTGCATGTCCAGAAACAGATCTGAGCAAGTATCCGGGAAGTGCAACATCTCTCTTTGAAAAACAATTACAAAAACATTTTACACTTGAACAGCCCTTCAGTGTTGCTGAATAGACAGAACACGGGATAACAAAGCAAAAGTTGAAAAATATATGCATCCCAAGCATATCTTTGACTAAGATGAAGCAAACGACCACACCACGCATACAATATTCAGAATACTTACTAGTGCTGGAGGTTCCTCGGGGATCAAAATCATCATCATCATAATTACTTGAAACTGAGTTTTTCTTATCAGAGGCATTTAGGTTAGCAGATGACCTTGATGCACGAGAAGACATATTATCTTGATCCTTGCTGCAAAACAAATATTCTGAAATAAACAAAATAACAAAACATAAAAAATACAGAGGCAAGTCATATTGTGTGCCTGTGTTTGTGCAAATGGCAGAGATTGTAGTGGAGTAGCTTGCTGTTCATGGAAAATGATACTAAGAAGAAAAGAAAATGGCCAACAAGCTGAAGTTGTGTTTAGTATTGCAGTGTTGGATTGCAAATCCAGATTGGACAGCATTGAAGTATGGTCAGCCAAAGCATCAAAGATGAAAGTTTTGGTCAATTACAAAACACAGGATCACGAAAAATTTTGGACTGAAATGCCAAGCACACTCCAAATAATCATATCAGCAGTAACGTGGGCATTGTTCTCTTTAAATGATGAATTTACTAAAACAATCAATAAGTATAAAAGTAATGACCACGAAATTGTAGCTATGCCCGCACATGCATAAGGAAAATAAACTGAGATTTTCCAGCATACTAATGATAAAAAATGAAACCTTCCAAAGCCTGCAGAACCCTTTTTCAAGGTGCTGTCTTGATCATCACTTATACCCCTTCGATGTGACTTCGTGTAGGAATCCTTCCGACTCTTTTCTTGTTTAAAACTATCATAGCTATCTTCATCTCCCGTACCACTTAAGCCATCTCCATACCGATCTCTATTTTGGAAGC